ATCCCCCAAGTCCCGGACTGCAAGAGGGCGCAGGCCAGGTTGAGGGACACCCCCCTTAGTGCACGAATTTCGTGCACCGGGCCTCTAGTAGTATATATAAAGAACTATCAAATTTCAACAATGAAGCCCTGGCTGGGTAGTACAATTGCTTAGAGCATTGACCTGATACACCAAGATTGAGGGTTCAATCCCCGGTCAGGTGCATATAAGAGGCAATAAATGAATTCATACATAAGTGGAATAACAAATTTATCTCAGTCTCTCTCTCTATCTCTCTCTCTATCTCTCTTTCTCTTTCTCTCTCCCTCCCTCCCTCCCCTTCCCACCCCTCTCTCACGTCAACCAATTAAAAAAATCTTTTTTTCTTAAAGAAACCTCAACAACCAGAATTCAAAAAAAATCTAATTATAGTATGGGCAAAAGAGTTGAACAGATATTTCACCAATGAGGAAACATGGATGGCAAAGAAACACATGAAAAGATGTTCAATATCTTCAGCCATTTGGGAAATGCAAATTAAAAGTTTAAGCCACAATGAGATAAGACTACACACCTATTAGAATGGCTAAAATAAAAAATAATGATAACACCAAATGCTGATTAGGATGTAGAGAAACTAGAACATGAAGACACTGCTAGTGGACATCTAAAATGGTACAGCCACTCAGGAAAATAGTTTGGTGGTTTCTTACCAAACTAAATATGCAGTTACCTTATGACCCAACAATTGCACTCTTGGGTATTATCACAGAGAAATAAAAACTCATATTCACACAAAAACCTGTACATGAATGTTCATAGCACTTTCATTCATAATAGCAAAACAACTATAGCAGTGTGTGGGGGGGGGGAGGAGGTTGAACAAACTTTGGTAGATCCATACAATGAAATAATACCTTTCAGCAATAAAAAAAGTATTAACTATTAATATGTGTAACAATCCGAGTGAAACTCAGGACATATGCTTGGTGATAAAAGCCATTCCAAAAGGTTAGGTACTATATAATGTTTGATTCCATTCATATAACATTGTCCAAATGGTAAAACTCTAGAGCTGGAGAACAGATTAGTGGTTGCCTGGGGCCATGGGTAGAAAGAAGGGTCATGGGTATTTAACTACAGAGATAGCAGGGGGAGTTCTTCTGTGTTGATGGGACAATTCTGTATTTTTACTGTTGCATTACAAGAATCTATACGTGTGATAAAATTTCATACAGCTACACACCCACATAAGTGAATGAAGGTTTAAAAGTGATTTAAAAATAAGGTCTGGCCCTAGCTAGTTTGGCTCAGTGGATAGAGCGTCAGCCCTGAAGGTTCCTGGGCTCGATTCTGGTCAAGGGCACGTACCTTGCATGCAGGTTCCCTGGCCCTGGTTGGGGTGTGTGCAGGAGGCAACCAATCTATGTGTCTCTCTCACATTGATGTTTCTCTCTGTCTCTCCCTCTCCCTTCCACTCTCTCTAAAAATCAATGGAAAAATATCCTTGGGTGAGGATTAACCCAAAACTAAATAAATAAATACATAAATACATAAATAAATAAATAATAAATAATAAAAATAAGGTCAATAGTAGAGTTAACAGTATTGCGCCAATATCAATTTCCTGATCTTTATATTGTATTACAGTTATATAATACGTCATCATTGGGAGAAGCTGAGGGTACTAATTTTGCAAATTCTTATGAATCCATAAGTATTTCAAAAGAAACTGTTTAAAGAAATTTTTGAATGAAAAAATGAGAAAAGAAAGCCATCTTTGCCAAAGACTTTCCCATTGCACAGGGTGGTTCTCTTTGGCAGTTGCTTCATCCACAATAACCTACTTCCTATCTCTCCTCTCCAGATACACAAGTACTATCCTTTGGAAAAGTTTACAGTTGAATGCGAGGTGCCTTAGACCAGGACTACAGAAAAGTTGCATGAATAAAAATAGTTCAAAAGAACACCTGTACACCAGGTTCACCAATTGTTACTATTTTAACCCACTCACTTTATCATATGGGATGGATCCATCTGTATCGTTGTTTCTGAACCATTTGAGGGTAAGTTACATACATGGATACTTTAGTGTTCCTTTCCTAAGAATATTCGTTTATGCAATCACAGGAGTATTATCAACTTCAGTAAATTTAACATTGGTTCAATACTTTAGTCCATCATTCCGATTCCACTTTCTCAGTGGCCCCAATATTTTCCAGAACAGAATCCAGTCCCGGGTCAGGGGCCGCACTGAGTTGTCACGTCTCTTTTCGAGCCTTAGTAGGTCCAGCTTTGCTACCGATCTCTGCTTGTCGCCGGGCACCTAGAATTCACCTGTAAACTGAGATGATGGCAACTGCCCCACCCATGTCTTTGTGAGTAAAGGCGCTTTAACAATTTATAAGCCTTAAATGGAGTATTTCTCTTCTGCATCATGATTCCCCAGAAGCGTCAACATTATATTGTGGGTTGGGGCAGAGGAGACCCGCTTTGGTTTTCGCTCCCAGCCAGGGGAGAGAAGGAGGAATTTGGAAAGAAACCCTCTAGGGAAGAGGAGACCCTGGCCAAGCGAAGGACTCTCCTTTCCCACCCCCTCACCTGGAGCACAGGGCGGCCCATCGGCGGCGCGGCCCAGGTCCCCGC